GCACGTTGTCGTTGTTAAAATGGACCAAAACTTTTCTCCCTTAAAACAAAAACTACTCTTCTGAGCCTTTCTCCATGTTTTACTGACAAACTATACTATGCGACAATATATAAGCCATATTTTTACTTGGAACACTCCATTGTGAAAAATGACCCGCAATGTATATAAACATGTAAAATAGAGAAGTTCTATGTATCACTGATGAAAAAAATTAGTTTTTTATAAAGAACGTTAAACATGCCGCATATTGCAATTTTCTCCAAAGCCTACAAAAAATTGAAAGTTTGAAGAAAAATCAAATAATGCCAAAGCTATGAAAGGGCAGCACATTTGGAAAACTAAAGAAATGTTTCATATTACTTGCTTAAAGCAGTAATATTATATAAATTATTTACGAGAAAAGGTTTCGTTTGCGTGTCCAAAGTTTGAAGTGCCCTCTAGGCAATATTTGTTTTGCGAAATGTAACACCTCAATAACTACTTGGGTACGCTCACATACACCTGCATAATTTTTTCAGCTTGATCAGAGATTGTCGCCAATTGATCTGGTACACAAGATATGAAATGTTCCGTACATGTATTTGATTTTGGTGGCCTGGAGTGAGTTAGAGGCCCCTGATCTCAAGTTCTTCTGAAGCCTCATTTGAATGATCGAGAGGAATGGAACTCGCAAAGTGTGCCGGAATTGGCGTGCCCCAATTTATGCCACTTTCGAAAAGCCAGGAGAATCCACCAACGGCACAACAACCGCTGCCGCTGTGTCCACTGATACACCTGAGACAACTCCTCTTTTGTTTCCTTCAATTCCAGTGCAAACACGGCTCTTCAACGTGAGCCTTGAGTTTGCCTTTGCTCAGAGAGTGGCGTTAAGCGACGTACAAAGGGTGAATCTACTTGCATCGCACGTGAGTCCGAGTGCTTTCCCACGGAAATGCGATAGACGTGTTTTTTTTCTCCAATATCAAACGCCTTTCACATTTTTTTATTCGTGCTTCTTTGTCACTCGAAGCAATGCCGCCTCACAGAGCTCCTAATGTTAGTGAATTGTCGCATTGACGATTCCCCCCTGGTTGCCTGCATAGCGCCACGAATGGAGACACGCTATCTCAAAACACGATGTGTTTTACACAGCCAGTGGGACTACCATTATTGTTAACTCAAAGGATTCACGACACTGCTCGACAAATCTGTACACAGCTGAACAAAACATTACTTAATATTGTATGTGCGTCTTCAGGCCCTCGTTAAATGTTTCCTCCTTCACGACCGCAAAGTACGTGGGAAAGTCAGGCGACAAACGGGAGCCAGAAGGGGGTGGTGAACAGCTGTATCATGCTGGTATAGCCGGCATTGGAAAAATATGAGAGTTGCTGCCTGAAAACAAGCTCCTTGGTAGCCTTTACAGCCCGGTTCTACGTCAGGTGAATACCAAAGTATCCCGCCTGCTTCGTACAGTAACCTAGATGCCACTACTGTCGTCGCTCATACGGATGCCAGTGTCCACTATTCATACCGCGCTTGTATGTCCATCATTACCTTAGGCTGGCCAGGCATGCTCATATTCTGCGGATCCGGCACCACCGGCTCGCCTTGCTGAGCTGGCCGCCATACGTGATGAACTGGCAGCGCTGCTGCCTCTTCTTGTGTGTTGCTCTGCGTCGATCTACGATACTATTCACGTTCTTGCTGCATCCGCATCTGTGCAAATGTGTTCAATACGTGTTCAGTGGGTTCCACGGGCCGCTTTGCCGCACCTTGTCAAAGCTGATTTGGCAACCCAACCTAAAGTTACACCATACCCACTACCGCATTTTCCTGAGGACGCTCTAGGACAGACGCTCCGGGAAAAAGAAAGCCTCCGACGTGCCACACAAGCTCTTATACCACCATGTGGATCGGACCTCCCTAGGGGTTTAATCCGCCGAGAGGAGCTTACGTTGTGGAGGCTTCGTTTCGGGGTTGCGCTTACACCCTCCATGACCACCCTTTGGGCGCAAAAGTACCGAGGACCGTAGGGCACATCATGTCCAATTTGTGACGCCTCAATACAAGATGTTACTGCCTCACACTTACTGTTGACCTGCCCTGGTCTGAAATAAGTCGACGCCGTCCCCTCCGTGCAACAGATCCCAGGCCTGGCCAACCACCCGACTTTGACCGCTGGATTCGTGGACCACACCAACGTTCTCTTCTAGACTTTACACATGAAGAAAACTTGTATGTGTATTTTTGAAAAAAAAATATTATGCCTAGGGAAAGACATTTAAAATGAAAGAAATAATAATGAAAAAGCTAAAACTATTTAGTGTTCGTGTGTTATATATCCAACTTAAATATGGTATGATAATAAATGCCAAGGTAACAAAAAACGTGCAATGAAATCTAGTAGGGACGAAGGCGGCGATTACAGAAGCGGCACAACATAGTAGATAATTTTGGAGGTGCCCGAAAGCGAGTTTTATTGCAATAGCAATTATAAGAACACTCTTGGCTGGAAATCGCCACCGGCTTCAGTGTGAGTGTCACCGCCACTCACCTTATATGTATATATAAATATATATATATATATATATATATATATATATATATATATATATATATATATATGCAAAAATCAAAAATAGAAAGACTCTGGCACGCGGATTCGAACTGAAGTCCACGGAATCACGAATGCGAGTTAGCCACTGAGCCACCGAAGAGCACGTGCTCCAACGTTGAAATGGCAAGCTTTTTATAACTACCACTTACCGCTGCTGACGGGCATCTCGGGGGGGGGGGGGGGACTATTGTGTTTTTAGCATTACCAGCAAGATGGCGCAATCAGCGTGCGTAGCAACATCGTCATGACGCGGTGGCCGTGCTCTCATCTCTCACGCGTGTTTTGTCCCGCAAGGAGCAGGGGGTAGACACTCACTTGCACGCACTTATCTCTTGGTAGGTAGGATTGTACGTCTTGGCTGCCGTTCGCATTTCACCGGAAGGATTTTGTTTTAGTTCCGGACGCACAGAAGTCACTACAATCGTTGCACTGTCTACGTTTGCGAAAAAAGCGCACTTTTCAGGCACGGCGAAGTAACAACTGAGACACCTATTTATGTCCATCTGTACCTGACAGTACGTTTCGTGCGTCATTTGCGCGTAAGAAACGCGGGGCACGTTTTGATTGGCTGGCTATATTGCGCGTGACCTGCCAATTTGTTACTAGCGCGTTCATTGGTTCGCCTTTGTGGCAAATCTGAGACTTTTTTGGCCACTTTCTTGTCTTCGCTCACTGCTTGCTTCTTAAGTGTCAATACGCAATAAGCGCTTTGTCTTCTTCAAACAAGGGAGAGCGAAGAAAGCTAAGCAGATATGGGAAAGCGCCCCTTTGTCAGCGCTTTCTTTTTTTTTTTTTCAAACGCGTGGCTTACTTTCAGTGTGATCGCAAGTGCACGCGCGGCCTTGTAGCAGCCTTCTCTGTATGCTGCTTGCAATGTTGAAGTCATCTAACTACAGTGAATTTTAGCTGAACAGCGCAATGGTATGGGGCAATATTACGAGAAATATTTCTAAATTTTGGGCCGTCTGCTATGCTGTGACATTTGACTCACATGTACTCAGAAGGTAGCGATCGAGTGCGTTTTCTAACGATTCAGTCAAAGTATTGCTTGACACCTTTAAACACAGCGTTGTCTCCTCCTTTATTAAGTGTTTTTTTATTATAAAAAGTAGGTAAAAGCTGATCCATGGTTTTTTTGCCCCAAGTGCTTTTATTATGTGGTACTTTTAACTGCAGTTTCATGTGTGCATATTTACAGGCTTATCTTGAGTAACTTTATTCCCCACTAACAACTTGCCAAAAATTTAGTAATCCACAGTGGTTTAGCGGAGCTTAAAGTGCTCAGATACTGATCCAAAATTCGCTGGTTTGATGCCGGCCGCAGCGGTCATATTTAACAAAGGCGTAATGATTGGGTTCTGTGTACTTTGTGATTTCAGTGTATGTTAAAGAACCCGAATTGGTAGGGATTCCTCGAGCCCTCCACTACGACGTCTCTCATAATCATACTTTTGCGACATCAACCATAAATATTTCATTACAGCGAAAGCTGTTACGAAATAAAACTCGGGTCTCGCGCAGCACCGTGATGTCCACTGCCATCACCGGTGTCTGTAACACAACGCGCGAAACTAAAAACGAAATCTACTATCAATGACACAGTGCGGCTCGAACCCCCGACCACTGGGTGCCAGCCCAGTATTCTACCACGGATCCACGCCGGTTCAATCACGTTATTACGACATATAAAGCGTTTTAAAACACAGAAAAATTCGAATAGCGTAAAGAATGAGTAGTCCAATGCTCCAAAATAATCGGAAAGCTTGTTTTTTTTTTCAGCTATAAACTCTAGCAGATACCCATCTCAGGCATAATTCCTCATAGTCGTCAGCCATTCCATGAACAATTGGCACAAAATTCCTCGCAATATTTAAGCGGATACCACGATTCTTAGAAGAATGACAAAAACTAGCATTGTGAATACCGGCCTACTGCCCTAAATTTTTCAATAATGCCATAGTGGTTACCCGGCAAGAAATTTGCTTGATTTGTGGGGTTTAACGTCCCAAAACCAATTTATGAGAGACGCCATAGTGGAGGACTCCAGAAATTTCGACCACCTGGGGTTCTTTAACGTGCACCCAAATCTGAGCACACGGGCCTACAACATTTCCGCCTCCAACGGAAATGCAGCCGCTGCAGCTGGGATTCGACCCCGCGACCTGCGGGTCAGCAACCGAGTACCTTAGCCACTAGACCACCGCGGCGGGGCACTCAGCAGGTGTGCTTGCAGCAGTTACCCAATGAGTGGTTAGAAACTGAGGCTCTGAAAGGCCGCCGTTGTAGCTTTCGCTGTGACTGTGTTGCCCCTTCCGCACAGGCTTGGTGCTTTTTTTATTAACTATTAGTCGCTATTTGGCACATTCTTCATTGTTCTAAATGCTTTTCTGAACCTCTGCAGCCTCCAACGAGAGTTTCTGGCTGAAAAGTGAGACGGAGGCAGACACGCTTGGCGAGGCGTACGACTACGAGTCCGTCATGCATTATCCGCATAACGCTTTCAGTAAGCCTGGGGTGGTATCCACGCTGTTGCCTAAGAGGCCGGAAGTACAACCGGAGAGCCTCGGCAAAGCCTACAGAGAAGACTTCCTTACGGATACGGATATCAAAAAACTCCACGTGCTTTACACCTGTGGCAAAGAGTTCACCAAGCAGTAGCCATGACTTCTTACTATTATGTGGAACTACGCGTAACCTAAATTAATGCTGGCTGTCTTTTTGAATGCGACTGCCGTTTTGTGAAGCATTGTATTTGAAGGTATGCTGACATGCGATGGATGGGTTTTTGTGCGTCCCTTCTGGTAGAAGATCTGTAAAACAACTGTACATCACCCGGCGTTCAGAACAGCTGCACTGTAGGTGACGCAAGCAATACCTCCGCTTACCTTCTCGGATTTCCAGGCTCCTGTCAAGAAGCAAGGTTCTCCGGCACTAGCGACAAAACTTATATTGAAGGCGCTATGCATGTTTCCATTTCAATTACACCAACTAGATCTTTGAACCATTCTAGCTGGTATATATATTACTCATTATGATATTGCGGAGATTTCTATTCTTCGAGATGCAAGGCGATATTCGTAGTGAGTGCTGTATTGAAGGATAATTTTTGTTTAATTATTTTTACAAAACTGGCAAGAGCTGCGCCCTGTGACCATTAGCCTTTTTTGTTCTCTTATAAAAAGATAAGAGCCTCTTTCTCCATTCTTACTCGAAAAGCCACGTCATTAGCTCTTCATGAATTGAAACAAAATGGTACAGCCAAATGTTATCGTCATATATTACACAATTGCTCTTTATTGCGTTCAAGACGGAAAACAACTTCAGCTCGTCATTTCAAAGTGCTCCAAAAAATGCAGTTTCTTAGTGAAGACTATAAATGCCTTGTGTATTGCAACGGAGAGCGATGCAGCCAAGCTTAGAGATACGTTCCAGCTCGTAAGTATACTCTAGAAATCGTAGTTTTGGGCGAGATCTCGCGGCACCAATTTTAAGCACGATTCGAATAGCTGTTCTTACTTTCAACTTGCATGTGCATTATAAGTGTTTTCGACATGGGTTTTTACTGGTGAATATTTTTTTTCAGCGTACGTTACATTAAAGAGTGAAATGCCGTCGCGAGAATAGCAATGCATGGTTGTGATATATTTTCCCCGCATGGGTGGACTTTCGACACAAGTCTGCTGGGCACAGCGACTTGTGTGACACAGCACCTTATTTCGAACAGTAAGAAAACCTTTAGGGAAATGTTTGCTTTCAAAAGGTATAATTCCAATGTTTCATTTTTTATTTCACACCTCATCTTGCATAAAACATTTAACTATTCGCCAAGAGGGTTATAAACTGTTTGCCCTATATTTTTTATTCCCGCCATTACGCTTTTTAAAAGAGATATATGGAACTCTTTGAAATCACATTCTTTTGCTGAGCAGTGAACCATTGTGCCCAAATTACGTACAAGTTTCTGTTCATTCATTGCTTTTCTTCACGTATTTTATTTATTCGTATTTCATTCGTTCAGAACTGCTGCACAGGTGACGATGTCACATAAACAAGCAAAGACGCATGTTTATACTGACTGAACGGCGTCAGTAAAAAGAGAATACACGTGCTGTGTTGCAGTCGCCAGCAAACCCAGCACGCGTGATACAAACCTTACCTCCACGGGACGTACAGCAGAGAACTCTGGTATTCTAAAGAAAAGGAACTGTGGTGTTTGATGTTATCAATTCTTTGAAAAGCTACTTCTGCACTTCTCAAGGTTGAAGTCGACACTTGAAAGCGAACAACCTGAGCTTTCAGGTGCTGTTCCTTACGTGTGCGTATCTCACGGCATTCCGCACCTGTTGCACACAAAGCTGTAGCATGATGCCACTACTCATTTAGATGTCACATTTCGATGAACGCGAAGTGCCAGAGGCCCGTGAACAGGGCAATGTCAGTGCACGTTAAAAAACACCACATGATCGAAATTCTCGGAAGCCTCTATTACGTAGTCTCTCGTATCTTGGTTTAGGAACGTAAATTGCCAAGTGGTATCATTATTACCACATCTTCAATTAGTTATGGTTGCATGCTTTACTTTGCGAGAAAACATGCAACATAAAGTGTGCCAGCTGACTTACGAATGCTTGCTACCTTTGTACACGGTAACATAGGGTTGCCACCTGTCTGATCTTAGACCAGCTTGGCTGGTTTATACAGGCCAAGCTTACAGGCCAAGCTCTTATGAGATGACAAGAGCCATTTTGGGCGCTATAGTTTTCTGAAACCGCCGGTGTATGTAACTGCCATCGCGAAAATTAAGAAAAATAAAAGACGACATATCCTGTGTGGAACGAAGTTCAAACCAGGGTTCAATGCGTGACATCCCAGTATACAACTACGGAACCATCATTGTTTGGAACTCCTTCGCAAAAAGACCGTCATGTCGGAAAGAAAGAACGTTAACGTATGTAGTATAATGTGATAGAAGAGTAAAATAACAATCACACGTCATGCAATTTGAACTGTGTACCAACCATCGCACTACGCGAATAGGTAGTTGAATGATTCCAACTAGTTACAAAGGGTTCATCCATATTTCTTCATTCTTAACAGCCGCCTTTTCCCTAAACTGCACATAATGCCTTGCAAATGAGTAGCAGGGGCCTCGCTTTTCCGAATGAAAAATTATGGCGTAGTCGGTGCTTGCCATGTTCATAAATATTATAATTATTCACGTATCAAGTACCTAGCAATCGTACTTGCATTAGTACCCTCAAGAGACTTTACAAGAAGTTCTAGAAGTGGTGATAGTGCAGCTTTCACTGTTACAGCGCGTTTTAGGGGTCAAGCTCCCAAAAGTCGAATCTCGGTCATTGATGGCGTTTGCTTCCTCCGTACACTCTAAGCCAGGTGCCGGATAACGAACGGCACATAGGCGGCGCGCTTCTGCGTACTGACTAAAATCCTGTCTATAGGGAGCCCACCAATAAAAAAAAACCCGTGACATCCGCTGAAGGATATGACGTCTTGAAATGCTATACGATGCACTTCGTATGACTAGAAACAACTAGCGAACACCAAGGAAACGAGCACAGACCTGTTATTTGCGAACTTCAGGCTAGATTTCATAGCACCGAGCAGTAATCGATAGAGCACTAAACAAACTCGCAAGTCAACGGAGAATACCATTTTTTATCAATAAACATTGTACACAAGTGTACAGGCCTATGTCACTCATTCACATGCGTGAGTTGTAACCGTCACGTGTGATTCACGGTATCACCGGAACGTTTGACTGCTTCTCCCACTCATCCTAATTCTCTTCGTTGATATTCCAAGTTTTTTTTTTATTGTAGACAGCGGAATAGTTGATCATAAGTTGACCAGCAAGTACCATATGTAGGCCACTGAAACATTAAACATTGTTACACTGCATTACGTTTCACGTTACAGATTTAACGTGCCTTTTTTTTGTTTCATTTTAATGCATAAATCAGCCCCCTGTATAAGTATCCACTGAAGAGCTGTTCTTTTAGTGATGAAGTGGAAACCCTACGACAGCATCATCCAGTAAACTTTTGTTGCTTTCGTTTTTTTTCTTCTGCAAACTACTAGCGCAAATTTTCACATCTTGAGTGGTAGATGACACCAGATGTATCACTTGCCATTGTCCGAGGGCGAATGGATCACTTGGGTAAAACACATGCCCTCCTCTTTCTGCAAAACCACATCAGGGAGAGTGAGGCAGCGGGTGGCAACTTTGCAGCTACCGTTTACAGTGCCAGCAAACCTTGGCAGTGATGCCAACCTCAGGAATTTACCTTTAAATCTATATTTTTTATTGCGTTCGCTTTTTTCATTCATGTAGATATTTTCCGAAAGCTTCGTTAGTGATTCATCACGCAGCCTAAACATGACTGCGTAATCACGCTTTTAACTGCGAAGGCGATAAATAACAAACTTTTTCACTGTTTGCTGTTTTTGATTTCAAGGAGCTTTGGTGTTCTACTCTGCTGATTGAAGACTAGAATACTCTGGAGAAAGAAAGCTTCTTCCTAAGGGTTTATTAAGCACATGAATGTCATCGAGAGCCCTCCGAGTGATCGCAGCTTTGCGAAACTAAGAGAAGTTTTGTCTTCTAATGGAAATAAAAGCTTAGAAAGTTCAAGCTCTGCGTGCCTTAACCACGCAAAGTTTGATAACTTGAGAACCAAGAGTCTTTGAGTGAAAGACAGCTAAAGTAGGTCTGTAGGTGAGTTGCTACCGATTCTATACGCATGGCGAAAACGACGTGACAGAGTAGGACAAGGAGATCGTTCGTACGTTTTCGCTTTTTTCTTTACATCGTTTTCATAAGACCAAAAATAGTGGCAAAACAAGGTAAAAGATAAAAACAGCGCAAACTAGAACCGGCGAACGAAGAAACGACAGGACGAGCGCTGACTGGCAAGTTGCCCGCACCTTTTCGCTTTATATCGCACTGAAGCAATATAAAACAGTCAGCGCTAGTCCTGTTATGTCTTCTTTCATCTCTTCTAGTTCACCCTGTTTTTACCTTTTGCTACGTGTAACTTACTTGCCCTGCGTAATACACTTCAGGGAGGGAAAAAAGATTTACCGAATGTAAGTGTGCAAAAAATGTCTATCAGCCAGTATTATTAGTAGAATCCCGTATACATTAGCAATATTAACCAATCAATCAATCACTCATTGATTTACCGTGCCCACAAACAACCACAAGGTGCATTTGTAGGTGCACGTAAAAATAGAACAATAAAACTAACAATACAATACAGTCAGTCTTCATGAAAAGAAATAAAAGAGTGAAAATGCACAAACAAAAAAGCTGTGCCAAATGGGAAGCATAAAAAAAGATTAGAAGAATTAAATAAAAAAATGAAAAATAATGCGGAATGTGCACCACTATGCTTGATACTTCCTAAAAGATAGAAAGGAGAAGAGACTGCACTTTCTGCAAAACTTTTTCGAGACATTGCAAACCTCAAATAGAAACATTGACAGTGGATGCTGCAAAACATCAAGATCAAGACTGTTGACATTGTGGAAAAGATTTGACGGCGAATTGACAACGCACAAGAAGAGAGGACGACTCTGCGAGCGCTCATTACCAACTAGTTTCATTCGGAAAAAACATGAAATCTAATCCACAATGAACCAAAGCACCAAAGAAAGCGTTTTAATAAAGTTAACTACATAGATACTTTTTATTCTGTGAGCGGTTGAGTGATGGAAGAAGTTGCCAGGCACATGAAATGGTCGATTGGCTCTCGTTACCTTACGGTGGAATCCGAACATTTACACAACTGAGAAGTAAAAGGCAGTATATGATAGCGTCAACTACATTTTAAACAAATAACAGGTCAGCCCCATTTTTTCAGCAGTGCAGTGATCGCAGTGATGATAATCTGGCAGTGTTTGAAGTAACAATACCAATAATACTACTACTAAAAATAAATGATAATAATGTTTTTGTCATCTTGAATACAACACAGATAAAGATGATGGCTTGGATGAATGGGCACGGCATATTGGCAAACGAGAGATGACATGCATAATGAAATTTGTTAAGGGAAAGGAAAGGTGTTAAGGGAAAATGATAAGGAAAAGAAGACATGTAACTCTTCTACACTTTAAATAAACACCATATAATACAAGCATCAAACTGACGGAATCAGTACTACCTAAACAGGATAATGTTGAGATAAAGATAGAGCAACCATTCAACAGAATCTATCTGGCATTGAAGAAGGTACAAAAATAGTTATGCGATAATTGTACACCATTAAAGTGATTTCAGGGCATTTCGCAAATTGCGTTTCGTCATTAAAGAAAGAACAGTGTCGGTGAGATCATTAAAAACAGAAGGAACGTACGCTTTTCTCACAGATTTTACATAGCGTGTTTTCACAAACACTACAGAAAAGTGGGAAGTTTGTCTCAATATACAAGCTTGGGGCAATGCACTCTTTTTGGAACTCAAAGTTCCAGAAATTGCATAATACCACAGTGTAAATACATGAAGCATTAAAACATCGCAGGTGAAATAAAAAAATAAATTTACATTTTCAGTTAAAATACCATAGTAAATCAGAGATTTCAACATGTTTTTCAAAATGTTATCA